TATCTTACTCCGTGAACGGTGCGCCTAGCAGAGAGTACTTGTCTTATAAAATGAAATATATGCCTCCAAATAAAGAAGAAAAATAGATTTTTAGTTTTAATGAAAATTGCAAATGTTTACATTAAAGTTAGCTAGTACATGACTGTTTATCCTCCACAGCTTGAGAGTAATTTTCTCTGTGGAAAATGACATGAAAGTGAACATATTTTCAATTTTTATTTTGACACAGAAACTGATGTGCCAGTTCCCTACGATCTGGAATTCTGCGTCCAAGGGTGATAAATACTGGATGCACCATAGTGTAATATGAAACTCCAGTTATGAATAATTATACAGAGATATGCACCTAAGGAAATTTCTTCAGATGTCAGTGGTAAAGGGGAGTGTCAGGTACTGACGGGTGAGAGTCAGTATTACTTATCAATGATGATCTTTGCTGACACAAGTGTGAGTAACACTTTAATTATTCACTTAAATGTCTAATCTTCTGAATCTAATGAACCTGATGGCCTTACTGACCTCAACTTTGACAGTGAGTCCTAAAGTTTTAATTTTGCCTTGGATGATATGTTGGGCAAAAAATAATTTTTATTGTCAAGCTAAATAGGTCTCCCTTGAATTTTATTAGTAGTGTCTGTTTTCTTAGTTAAATGAAAGCAAATATGCCATGAGTTGGCATAGCTAGGCTCACTGAAGATCATGATATTATATGAATTTATGCCAAATGAGGCCCCAGCCCACTGTATTCGAGCTGGAGGCACATGTGCATTATGTATTACAGGGAGGCTTTATGTTTTGTTCTTTTCTTTAAGTGCTGTATCACACCGTTTGTGGTTTGTTGTGGTTTTTTTCTCCCCTGACTATTGCTTAGCAACAAGCGGGTCTATGGATTTGCCCTCAGTTTCTGAAGTTGCTTCTCGTGAGCAGCCAAAGTAAATTTAGAAACCATGAATTTTCAAACTGTTCTTTCCACAGTGTTTCCTTATGTATGTTGTACTGTAACCATTACCCAGTGACTTCTCTAAGCAAGGTATTTACAGAGCTTTCCGTAATGCCTTTTATTTTGTCTAAAGTTTCAAATTCATTCTTGTATTGCTTATAAGTAGTATGAACACCTTTCTAGCAGAGATCTTTGCATCACCCCTAGCAATGCCTTTGCTCTGTGTTAAAAATTGATGATTTAATCCATTTCTGTTCATTCATCTCTCTAGACAAGTGTCCAAACCCCATACTTTGCCCCCCATACTTTGTCTCAGAATTACTTCTAAGCTGGTTTACTTCCATTTCTTCAATGAATCCCACAGAGGATCTTAAGCTTTCAGAAAGTTCCTATCAGTCATGAATTGGCTTCCAGCATAGGGGAGTTAGCTCTACAATGAATGTGTGTGAAAATCCCAGCCTGCCCCTGGAGTTCTAACAGAAAAAAGTGTATCAACATTTTTGCATAGGTGGGATGTGAAAAATGTTCCAACTGCCCAAAGATGTACCTTGTTAAACTTGTATTTAAAAAACCAAAAAGCAGAGAATGTGCCTTCAAGAAATTACCTCAGCCTTTGCTATGGATCAGGTGGACATTCAAAGCAGTTCCCCTTTCTTGCCAACAATCCATCAGTTTTATTTGGGTTGAACTTTAATCAGCTTTCTAACACCCCTCCTGCAATCTCAAATCTTGATCTTGTGATTATTTCCTCTGCCACAAATCTTGTAAGCTTTCAAATAGTCTCCAGCTGCTTGTTTACATAGGAACTCTCAGGAAAAAATAATCTAAAGTAACTGAAGGTGTGAATCCAAAGTATATTAGCTAAACTGGATTAAATCTGGATTATTTTGGAAGATAATTCAGTAAAATGACATTGAAGTCAGTTCTGTTGTGAATGAGCGTGTCCACAAAATGGTCTAATACAGTTTAAATTATGCACTTCAAAAATTTAATTTGCATCAAGTTCCTTGTGTGTCTCTGTGGACACAATCCCTACCACAGCCATACCGCACACAGCGGAGAAGTGCTTTGCATTGCCCTGGAGCCCACTGCGCACCCCTGCAGAGTTCATGGCTGATCTCACTTGGCTCAAGCGGGATGCAATATAACTTGGAGTGTGATCGGCTTATTGTCAATACATAAAGCCATGCTGCCATCATCACCATTACCATTAGTGCAGTAGTATGCATAGTCTCAAGTGGAAATCAGAGTCCTATTATACTAGATATTCAAAGAAAACAAATTAGCTGGCTTCTGTACAAAGAGAAGAGAATAAAGAGCTGCTGGCTGGGCTGGGCAGGGCAGGCTGTGAGCCACAGAACCATCAGGTCTCCCGTGGTCCAGCCTGGTGCTTTGCCTGAGAAGTCTGGCTGTCCAGAGAGTCTGCATGGCAGAGCCAGGCCTCTGACTTGAAAAGTAAAATGTGAGAATTTCTAACCTCCTGTCCTAGATCACAGAGCCAAGTCAGCATCAGCTGGCACAGCCAGCTGTGTTCAGAGCAATGCTAGCCACCCAAGATGACCAATTTTACTCACGCAAATCTGCTCACACGAAAGCCACACTGTGCACGTTTGTGTCATATTGCAGCCTGCATCTGATTAAAATACCCTTCTCTTCCTAGTTAAATGCTCTGGGAATTACCTGAGGCTTATTGCCTTTTTGATCCCCTTCAAAATTCAGTTAAGTCTGATAGGGCTTGTAAATGATTTTCTAGTCTGCCATGCATTGATTTTTCTCTCCTTGGAGGAAAACAGAAAACCCCATGAAGTTGTGAGCAATAGTTCATTGCTTTTTCATAAATTTTGCCAGTTGCAGGCCAAAAATATAAAGGCAAATGCAGGTTCTTCCATTTGAATGCAATCCCAAAGGTTATAACTGTCAACCTAGAATATAGTTCCAAGGTTTTGAAAAGGCCAGATACCTCCAACAATGTTTTTTCTTTAAGAAAATGCCAGCTATGGGCTTGGTTGGGTCAAGAAGTGGTTTGTATTACACTATCAGCTTTGTAAAAGGAACAGCACGTGCTGGAGAGCATTTAGTGGCAAGAGGGATAATGGCTCTGTCAATCAACTTAGAAAATGGCTTTTAGGAAATGTATTTTCACCCGAGGTGAGTCAATGAGACCAGATACATGACCAGAGTGGGTGAAGCCACTGCCTATAATTTAAGACTGGACTACTGAGCTTGACCACAAGAGTAAATTTTTCAGTGTGTTTCGCCAACATTTGTATTTTCAATTGTTGCACACAGAACAAGATTTTGCTTAGAATAATTTTATAATGAAGCTAAGACATACAGAAAATCTTGATTAAGCATGGATAACTTCATAAAAGCATTAGTGATGGACAGTGTGGAAGCTGTAATAACTGAATTCTCTCATATGATTGAAATGTTGCTAGGAAAAGGAAAAATAGGTGCTTTTACTTTGGTTTTGACCAACACATTTTGATTCTGTTTTCTATGCAAAAGAAAGCAGACTTGTAAAAGAGAGGGCCAGGTTATGAACTGCAGTCTTTAGGGCAGAGGGAAGGACAAGGAGGTGGTGCAGAAACTTCTGAGTTGTCATTCTGTTTCAGGTCAATTAAAATCTCCTCATGTTTTTCTTTTATTAAAAACTAATCTATCTGGAACTGCTTTGTACTTGCCATAGGCTAAAGAATACATACGGGCAGTGCACACAGTGTGCACACAACCAGCTTGACATATGGCAACTTCATGCCCCGTGGTAATTTGTTTATGAGTCTGAGGCGTCTGATACAAACACAAGGTACTTGCATACTGAAATCAGTATATATATATATATTTTTTCCCCCAATCTTTTTCCCCAATGCCTCAGGGTAAAATAATGTAATTACTTTTGTAAGTTCAGTGTTGGATAATATATACTGATACCAGTGTAATGGATCTAATGCTTCTTAAAACTTAGGAGGATTTAGAATTATTGGTCTTGACTGTCACACATCAGCAAAGTAAGGAGAGCTACTGTCAGCACAGACTACTTTTATACCCATCTTAATTATAATTTGTCTGCCAAAGCAAACAACATGAAAGTAGCCTCATGAATTGTTATATCCATCTCTCCTTTGAGATGGTGCTCCAGTTGACCTGCTGTGTTTGAAGTGCTCCTTTTACAAAAAGGAAACTGTGGGACAACATGATTAATATTAACATTACCCCTGGGTAGTGCGGAACACACAAGTGTTGGAACAAAACAGCTGCAATAAAGGCTGAATGTTGAATTGTCTCTCAAAATAAAACATTTTGCAAAACAGAAGTACTGAATGTTTCTGTTCCAGAAAAACTTAGCTTTTTAATCAAAGTCTATACAAACTTCAGCATTCTCATCTAAGAATACTATAGTATTAAAAACAGTCTTCATTGTTTTCCCTGCTTGGTGGTTAATGCAGCTGTAGTTGGTATAATTGTCTCCATCTCACTGCAAACAGCAATGTTTTCATTGGTCACTGTTTGTTTAGTTTTTAGACTGGCTTATGTTTTAGGAGGTGATAAAAATTTGAAACAGCTACTGCAAGGCTTTGTACACATCGGCAAATTCACCTGAGCATTTAATACTAATTAACTTAACAGTGGCTGCTTACATCCAAACACTGCACAAGTATTCATTTTCTAATCAGAGGCTTATGAATGAGACACAATTCTGTGTGAACCATTTGGTGACTGAACTCAATTTTAGAGCAGAAACTGCCATATAGCTCATTGATTTAATTGGAGGTTTTGGAGCTTTCTTGCAGGCTGAATTGTTTCAACAGATGAGATAGTGACAGAGGCCTGATTGTGACCCTACTTAATGCAGACTGTGTAAATTTGGAGCAACTTTTTGAAGTCAGTCAGCTAGTAATAATGAGTGAAGAACAAGAATTATAAAACTGTTGGGATCAATGACACCAAAACTGAGATCCTACATAAATAGTAACCTGATAAATTCCTTTCTTTATTCTTGACTGCTTGTGTTGATGAGTTTGAGGTTGTTTTAGCGTACTCTTCTCATTTTTTCCCACAGAGCTGCTCAGAAACTGAACCTGTCTTCCAAGAAGAAGAAACACAGGCCTTCTGCATCATCTGTTCCTGAATCTCCCCTCTTCTCCACTAGCTTCAGCAGTATTCTTCAGACTTCCCCACCCCCTGCACCACCGTGTTTGTTGAGGGCAGTCAGCAAAGTGAAAGACACCCCTGGTTTGGGCAAGGTAGGCCTTGCAAGTATCACTAAAACACCTGTTTTCTTTGGGAGAAGATTTTATCCTTGTGCAAAACATTAAAGGAATTGGAAGACCATGTACTTTCTCCATTGGTTTTACTGCAATTGGTCCCTGAACATGTATACAAAGGCCTAACAATGTAAGTTACTTATTGCAAGTGAACTTCTAATAAAGCTGAAGTTGATTTGAACACAGCCAGACCTAACTGTGCAGCAGTAATACATTTCAAGACCCAGCTACACTAAACACACCTGCACTGGGACCACAGTGCTACTAGGTGGTGATAATGTCCATTCTGCTAGGGTTTCCAAAGCAGTTGGTCTCTGTGGCTGTGTCTGAACTGCGTAGCAGTTGCTTGTTGTGGTATATTCTGGGTTCCTCATCCCCTTGCTGTCCAGACTGGTGTTGGCTGGACACACTGTAATTTGCTTCTGGCTCACATTTCCTGGCTTTCTTCCAGTACAGTCAGGACAAGGCTGGGCCACGTACCTGAACAAAGCATGTGCTGATAATGATGAATTGCTCCTTTTGCCTTCTGTCATGTTATTTCCTCCCTTTCTCCAGAATCATACCCTTTTTAAATGCTGTTTAGGTGCATACTTATAATGGAAAATAGTTGAGGTGATGGAGGAGGCGGCTATATAGTTTGCTGTTGCTTTGTTGTTTGTCTGAGTTGCCCTTCCTTTTCCCCCTCTCACAAATGGAGAACCTGGCATATTACATCTGGGAATACAGGCGTGCAGTTGCTGAGGACAGCAGTTTGCTTTAATGAAGGTAGTTTTTTATGGAAGCGTCTGTGTGTGTGGCTTTTCCATATTCATTGAATACTAAGCAGTGACAATGAATTTGGTGAAAATCTTTGTGTTTAGAAGAGAAACTTCAATGTATGATCTAAGAGTGCTGAGTGTAGAATAGGCTTCAGAGTTTTCATTGCTGATTTTGGATACTCACTTTCCTATATTGTGCAGTTCCTTTTTTTTTCTTCTCCTTCAAGAATGGTATTACTTTCATGGATGGTATAATGCCTGTTTGGAAAGGGATTCCCTCCACATAGGGATCCCTTCCTTTCCTCTGGCCTGGTAGGTGGGAAGAAATGTACAAACCTGTCACGATCTTATAAAAGTTAGTAGTGAGGCATACTTTGAACTTAGTGGGAGGGGAGGAGTAAGCTTGAACCTGTTCATTGCTGTAAGAAGCTGCTATGGAAAAAATTTACAGTAGCAGACATCCTCTCAGGATTCTTACTTTTCTGTGCTTGGGACAGGTTATATCTGAATAAAAATAAAAACTCCATTGAGGAATAATGAAGGGTGTGTTCATGAAAACAAGGGACTAATTTCCCTTGCTGAACTGTATGAGTACTTTTTCCGACTACTGGTTTTCACCCTTCCCAAGAAAAGGGTCTACACACACAGAGGCACAAACATAGCTCTATCAAAACACTGCAAGCTTGATCTGAAACTTTTTTGCTCCTCTAATCATTGGTATCCAGTGGATAGGGCTTGGGAAACAGTTTTGCAGTATGCCCAAATAGACCTGTGATTTGCTGCTGCATCAACACCATGTACCAGAACAGGCTGCAGACTTTCAAGGTTTGTAAGTAAAAAGAAGTATTGCAGTCCAGTCGATGAAGGAGGACGTTTATTTTCAGTTTAGACTTACCATCCTGTAGCTATCAGAGTATACAGAAAAAGCTAAAAGGTTTTAAAAAATGTTGTCACACGTACTTCTCCCAAGTAGTAAACCAAATTAGGTTAATTTATATAGTCAAAATAGAAAAAAATCTCCCCCCCCCATTTCCATTAGCAAAGATATGTCTAACCTGCAGTTTCTGGAATTCAGTTTAATTTTTCACCTTTTTTGTTTCTTCTGGGGGTCACCTTATAATTATGACCTGAAGCTTGTATACTTTCATCAGTTTCCTGTCAGTTTCCCTCTGTAGCACAATTTTCATTTTAATATGTCAGAAATAGGTGCAGGTCATAATAAGTAAATAACTGCAGGAAAACAATGTAATTTATCTGTCAGACTGGGAAAACTTCAGATGAGGTAATGGAATTTCCAGCGTATTTGCTTTCAATTTTTATTGTTGTTATTTATACATGTTCTGTTCAGTTTGGTTGGCATATGTTTTGATAGGAGCATGCTAAAAACTATGTTGCTTTTCTCAGCATTTTCTCTCATATAGTGTTTTCTGCAAGGGTTTAAATTTATAGAATGTGGACCTGTGTAGAGGGGAAGCTAAATGTTATTTTCAGTGTCTTAGGTTTTTTTCTGGTTTGTGTTTAAATAGCATTTTACCAGCAATCCCAGTGCGATAAAACTGTTTCACTTTGGGTTTGAGTGGGCTGGGAAATTTCTAACATGAGTTTGTTACTGGAAAGTCTGGTTCACCAGAACTGAAAGGCCAGCCAAGGATTCTAGATTTCGAGGAGACTGCCGGGGACAGCTGTGCACAGACTGTCCTGGGATGGGCTTCATGGCAGACAGGCTTTTTGCTATAGGGCTGGGAGTCCCGGCACAGACTCTGGGTGTTGCTGGCTTGGTGTCAGCTTGAGAGTATCCAAGGTGCTGCAGGATAGGAAGTCAGGTGCTTCAAAGCCTAGACTTTGAGGTTAAATTTCAGTTCACAGTTTTCTAAAATGAACTTGCCACCAAACAGTTGCCAATCCTACTAGAAATTTCAAAGGTTCTGCTTCTCATTGCAAAACTGATGACAATGATTTATTTAAAATTGTAGTTTCTCAGTTGTCATGTGTAGGCGTATAGTTTTTGTGAGCTAAACTAGGAAGACTTGCCTATCACCAACATATTTAAAAGTTAATTAGCAGCTCGGTTAGTATGGATATGGGTACAACTGAAGAGTCTAAACTGACAAAGAGAAAGGAATTAGAGAGTATATGTTCAGGTTGCATGCTTCACACCTTTTCTTACAAAAGGCCTTGCAAATCAAACTACCAACCTGGATTTTGAAAAAAGTATTACTGGAAAGCTGAATTTCAGCTTCACCAAAGGAGGAAGACGATATTAATAATGAAATGTTGGGACTGCATAATCACCATTTTACTTTGATGTTAGATACACCATTGACCCTAGCAGAAGTACAGCAGTGTCAAAGTGAAATAAGGTAGTAAAGGATCAGATTCTTTGTTGCACTCATTTCAAAAATGCTCTCTCTGTAGTAAAACAAAAGGTGTGTGACCATGTTGCAAATATGTTAACAGTGGTGCTTATATGGGCCATAACATACACATATACTTTGGATTTGCGTTTGCTGGCAGACAAAGCTGATCCTGGGTGATAGTGTGGTATCATAGAATGGTTTAGGTTGGAAGGGACCTTAAAAGATCATCTAGTTCCAACCACCCTGCCGTGGGCTGGGACACCTCCCACTAGACCAGGTTGCTCAAAGCCCCATCCAGCCTGGCCGTGAACACCTCCAGGGATGGGGCATCCACAACTTCTCTGGGAAACCTGTTCCAGTGCCTCACCACCCTCATAGTGAATTTTTTTTTCCCTAATATCTATTCCAAATCTGCCCTCTTCCAGTTTGAAGCCATTGCCCCTCATCCTATTACTACATGCCCTTGTAAAAAGTCCCTCTACAGCCTTCTTGTAAGCCCCCCCCCAAAGATCCTGGAAGGATGCTATGAGGTCTCGCCAGAGCCTTCTCTTCCTCAGGCTGAACAGCCCCAACTCTCTCAGCCTGTCCTCAGAGGAGAGGTGCTCCAGCCCTCTGATCGTCTTCATGGCCCTCCTCTGGACCTGCTCCAACAAGTCCATTTCCTTCTTATGTTGGTGGCCCCAGAGCTGGATGCAGTACTCTAGGTGGGGTCTCACGAGAGCAGAGTAGAGGGGCAGAATCACCTCCCATGACCTGCTGGCCATGCTGCTTTTGATGAAGCCCAGGATACAGTTGGTTTTCTGGGCTGCGAGTGCACATTGCTGGGTCACGTTGAGTTTCTCAACAACCATTACCCCCAAGTCCTCTTCTCAGGGCTGCTCTCAATGCATCCAGCCTGTATTTGTGCTTGGGATTGCCCTGACCCACGTGCAGGACCTTGCACTTGGCCTTGTTGAATTTCATGAGGTTTGCATGGGCCCACCTCTCCAGCCTGTCCAGGTCCCTCTGGATGGCATCCTTCCCCTCCAGAATGTATCCCCATAGTTGTTTCTTGAGAGCGTAGTTTTCTTTTGGGCTGAGTGACAGTCCTTCTCCATAAACTGCCACAGCTTGAGCATCACTTTTGCTTTGCTCTTTGCTGTCTTTGAATCATCATATTCTGAGAGTGGCATATTCCTTTTGCTCGGTTTACACAGAGAGAGTGTGCCACTGTCCTAGATGACTGTATGTGCAGTTTTGCCAAGTCCCATCATTTTCTGGAACATACTCCTTAAGTCTGTTTTGTCCTTTCTGACAATGAGCCAAGAAAAAGAGCAAAAATGCTTTCCATGCAGAAATAATGAATTATTCCACGCCTACACTCAGATTAAGTACTGTAAGGGCATTCCAGTAATGTTTGCTTAGATTTGGTCCCCAATTTTCTTCCCTCCTTCTCCCTTCTGTCCCTCTCCTTCCGTTTGCTGTCAAACAAACTCAAAACTAAACCAATACTTTTGATGAAAATCTGAAATGTTATTTCAGTGAAAGATGTTGTTTTGCTGAATCCCACATTATACATGAAAACCAGCTTGAATGAAAAATTTTCTTCCACCGTTAATAAATAGGTTGTTTTCAGGTGTCACACGGTTTAGAATGAATGGATGTGGTCTCTGTGCTTTCTTTCATTTATTATTTTTCTGTGTGTAGTCTTATAAAACTCTGTCACTGAGATGTATTTGTTATGTTTGGGCAGAGATTAGTTTACTTTTCCCTATACATTATTTTTGGTGTGAATTGTTGTTTGTTGGTACTTGCTAATCTCAAAATGAAACGGCAGTGTTTGTGCATTAAAATCATCCCTATGCAAAAGGTTTCTACCAAGGAG